GCCCCTGGGCTGGGGGTGCCCAATCCCCGGGGCTGTGGGCAGCGTCCTGGGGGCTGGTGTTCGGAGCTGGACAGAGAAGGTCTCAGGCTGAGGGTCCCGACGCCTTTCCAGATCTCTCTCTCCTGAGCAGCGATGGGGGCGGGTCGGATCCTGGGGGCCGGGAGCCGCTGGGCTGGGGCTCTGCTAGTGACACTGACGGTGCTGAGAACCCACCTGGCTCATTGCACGGAGCCCCCAGGTGAGCAGAGACCCCAGCGCCCCGGGGAGCCCCGTGCTGGGCAGGCGCTGGGTGTATCCGGGGGGGTCGGACCCCAGCGCCCCGGGGAGCCCCGTCCTGGGAAGGCGCTGGGTGTATCCGGGGGGGTCGGACCCCAGCTCTCCGGGGAGCCCCGTGCTGGGCAGGTGCTGGGTGTATCCAGGAGAGGGAAGTGATCAGACCCACACGTCCCAGGGAGCTCCATCCTGGGCAGGTGCCAGGTGTACCTGGGAGGGATTGGACCCCACACGCCCTGCGAATCATGTCCCAGGTGGGTGCTGGGTGTATCTGTGAGGTTCAGGTTGGATTGGACCCCACACACCTCAGGGAGCCGCATCCCAGGCGGGTGCTGGGTGTATCAAGGGGATGAGACCCCACATGCCCTGGGGAGCCCCATCCTGGTCACCAGGTGTATCAGGGGAATTGGACCCCACACACCCTGGGGAGTCCTGTCCTGGGCAGGTGCTGGGTGTGTTGGGGAGGATCAGCCCCATGTGCCCTGGCAAGACCCATCCAGGCAGACAGCAGACGTATGAGGGGGGGATTGGGTCCCACGCACCCTGGGAAGTCCGGTGCTGGGTGTGTCGGTCTCTGTCTTTCCTCCATGAGCTCTGGTTCCCCCTGCCGTGGGGGGGGGGGGTCCCAGGCTGGGCAGGGGGAGGGGCCATGTGTGGGACCAGGCCCCTCCCATGGGGGTGAGAGACAATGCACAGAATCGTTCCCTTTTTTACACCCCCACCCCCGGGGGAACCTGGGGTGAATCCACATTAACAGGCTGCTCCAGAGCCAGACCCTGGGACCTTCTCCTGCCCCACAGCGACCGGCCCCTGACCCCCGTCTCAGTGCCCCTGGCCTGGCTCCCCACTCCTCTGCGCCTCCCCCATCTGTGCTGTGCCCCCCGTGACTCAGTGTCCCCGCACCCCACCTGTGCCCCACCCCCATTTCTCTGCTGTTCCTCCTGCCCCACCCCTGCCCCCCCGCTCAGTGCCCCCCCGCCTGCCCCACATCTCCCCATGTTACTGTCATTTCCCCCCGCCAGCCCTGCGGGCTCCCGTCGGCGCCCAGTGGATCCAGGGCGTTGCCGGTGGGGGGGGGGGTCTCGGGGCTCTGGTTGTTCCCCGAGCTCCGAGCCCCGGGGCAGGGGGCGGGTCCCTGAGCGCAGCCCGTCTCCCCCCCCCCCAGAGCATTTCCTGCTCCAGTCAAAGCACGACTGTCTCTACACCAACGGCACCGAGCGGGTCCGGTTCCTGCACCGCTACATCTGGGACCGGCAGCCGTTCCTGCACTTCGACAGCGAGGTGGGGCGGTTCGTGGCGGACACGGAGCTGGGGCGGCCCGATGCCGAGGGCTGGAACAAGGACCCGGCGATCCTGGCGGACGCGCGGGCTGCGGTGGACCGGTGCCGGCACAACTACGGGGCGGTCGAGCCTTTCAGCGTGGCCCGGAGAGGTGAGTGCGGGGGGGGGGGGGGGGGAGACAGCGACCCGGCGATCCAGGCGGGCTCAGGCGGACCGGCTCAGACGGGGAAGGTGGTCGGCCGCCGAGGTAAGCGGCGGGCGGGGCTGTGGGGGGCGGGGCCCGGAGCGGGGAGCGCGGGGGGCGGGGCCGCAGCAGGACACGCCCAGCCCAGCGCCCCCCCCCCCCCCATGGGCCCGGCCCGCCGGCGGGGGGGGGGGGGGGGGGCAGCTGGGGGGGCCGGGCTTGGGGGGGGGGGGGGCAGCAGGCGCTGGGGCGGGGTAACGGGGGGGGGAACTCCCGCCCCCGGCGCCCCCTGTCGGCAGAGCGCAGAGCCCCACCCGGGGTCAGTCTCGGGGGGCTGACCCCTCCCCCTTCCGAGACCCCCCGCCCCTCTGAGGGGTTCAGCCCCCAGCGCCCCTCACTCAGACACCCCCGGAGCAGGCAGCTGCTGCGGCTCCTACCCCCTTCCTGTGCTGGGGGACCGGGCGATGGGGCAGAACTTCCCACCCCCCAACCCCGCCCCTCCCTCCCCTGGCAGGGGAGTGGGAGCAGCCCCTGGGCTGAGACCCCGTCTCTCTGGGCCTCGAGGATCAGACAGTCCCTGGCTCTGTCCCCATGGGAGTGACGGGACACGACCCCCCCTCGGGCCCTTTCTGCCGGAGCCTGCCCAGCACAATGGGGGGCAGGAGAGAACCAGCCCCACCCCGGGGCAGTGAGGGGGGAACGGGGTGGCTGGGGAATCGGACCCCACACACCATGGGGAGCCCTGTCTGTCCTCGGCATGTACTGGGGAACGAGACCCACACATCCAGGGTGCCATGCCCCAGGCACCTGCCAGGTGTATCAGGGGGTTGGATGCCCTGTCCTGGAAAGGCGCCGTGTGTATGGTTGTGGGGGATTGGACTCCACACACCCTGGGGAGCATTGCCCTAGGCAGGTGCTGGGCATATGGGGGGGGATATTTCCCTGGGTGGGCACCTGTTCTCTCTGTGCCCTCCTCCGTCTCCAGACCCTTTCCCAGCCCCACTCTCTCTCTCTCTCCCCCCCCCCCCCCTGCGCCCCGGGTGAAAGTTTCCCCCACGAAATTGGGGTCCGAGCCCCACCCCGACCTGCTGGTTTGCTCGGTGACGGGGTTTTACCCCTCGG